TACACAAGATAATTATCACAAATCTATTAAATAAATGCTACTTAATTTTTGCAGGCTTAATATTGACTCCAGATTCATCATTGCTAATTTTTCACTTTCAACTCAATACCCCTCCAAATTAGTTATTCTAGCCTTATTTAAAAAATTTTTCAGGTTGATTTGCTTATGCCTGGGGTTGGTGAGATCGTCGGTGGTTCAATGCGTAAGCAAGGCTTGCAAGAAATTCTTGACGGTTACACTTCGGAAGGAATAGACGCTTCACCTTATTACTGGTATACTCAACAGGTTGGTCAGCAAACCTTAAAAATAAATCTATTCATTTGACTCAGACTGCTTTCTGTTTTCTCAAAATTTTATTTGCTTTGGCTTGGCAAAAACTAGTCAATTTTGGTAGTTATATTTGAGAGCCTTTGATTTCTTTGCATATATCACATATGACGGTACAGGCAGAGGTCCAGAGTTAATTACATATTAAGTAAATAATTACATGCATTTGTTTAGAATATAGATAGCTTTCATTTTATAGCTTTTGTATATTAAAAACAATAGAGGCTTTATTCGAAACCCCTTTATATGCTTTTTTACCAAGCCTGCAAAAATAGGGTATATTGTGTAAATGATGACAGCTATCTAGCATTTGTTTTTGGAAAGTGTCAGTTTGCCTGACAAGGTTTTTATTCGTTATAGAACTACGATCTCCTGGCTTTTCAGAAAATTATAATGATCTAACTTCATCTCTACTATATTCATTTATATCCAAAAGTTATCTGGGTGACATCTACGCTTTAATTTCAACCTGTTTTTCTTCAGTACTTTTCCTCATTCATATTTTTGCAAACGCGTTAATTACAGCGAGAATTCGGCACTTGTTCGCATGGCGGCTACGGCCTTGGCTTCGAACGCTTTTGTACCTGGATTACGGGAAAAGACCATATTCGTGATGTTTGCCTTTACCCCCGCTACCTTGGTCGTTGTCGGCCCTGAGTCCATTATTGTTGCT